CATTAATTTGTCTTCCAAGGTACTTCTTAGAAGTTGTCAAATTTATTTCAAAACAGATTTTTGAAATATGCTTTCTATATCCTTTCAAATTCTGTAAAATCTGTGGTAATGTCTCCTAGGTCTTGATATTTTAATTTTAAAAATGTATAATTGATATGGTGTAATAAGAAGTAAAGGTCTAAAGGAGCAGGGGAAGTGGGAGGGGTAGGGGAAAGGAAAGAAGGGGACAAAATATGAGAAAAGGAAAAAAATGGAAACAAAATCTTTGCAAATAGGGATGGGTGGGGGGGTGAAGGGAGGGCAGGGGAAGGGGAAAAAAATAAGAACCAAGATACATCATGTAATGGTACAAGATCCCAATGATGAATGTAAATGTATTTTATACCTAAACTGAACCAATAAACTTAATGAGGAAAAAAAATATTGAACAATCATCAGAAATAGGCAATTCAGAGATGCTACTCCTAACCTGGAGGAGTTCAGTCCAGCAGAGGCTCCTACCTACTAGCACCCCTTTTGCTGGGGCTCAAGAAAAAGAAAGGAAAATAGAAAACATCAGAGTGCAAGAAAGTAGCAAGTGGGCTGGGGATTTAGCTGAGCGGTTCCACAGCTTCACAGACTCAAGGTTTCAAGTTGGATCCCCGGTACCAAAAAAAAAAAAAAGTAGCAAGTGTAAATCTTCAGGTAAATGGGAGCCTCACTGAGCTGTAAGGTATATTTCTTCTTAGGGATTCCACTCAAAAAGGGTTCAAACAGTACAGCATAGAGGGGTAAACCAACCTGTGCCTGTGGATACCATCTGCTAAGAAAGTTTCGTGGAGTTTTCCTTCTGAAGATTACTAATGCACCTAGAGGACATTCTCTAAAATAACTGGCCTGTCCTCTGCAAAAATACCAATGTCGTGAGAGACACGAGAAAGTAAGCAATCATGCCAACTCTAAAAAAAGAATGAAGGGTTACAGCTACTCAAGGCAAAGCCCCGTCCCAGTTTGAAACTTGGACCAGGAGAAAATACACATTATCAACAAGGGACAATATTAGGACAGACTGACAGAATGTACAGGAGACTGGAGTAAGATACTGTATCCATGTTGATTTCCTGATTTTGGACACCGCATTGTGATTGTGTAAGGGAACTTTCTTATACTTAGGAAACCCCACTGAGGAATTAAGGGCTCCGTAATTTAAACACACTCAAAGGGCTCAGAAAAATGCATATAATGTGTTGCATTAAAAAAATTAGACAGAGCCAGGGATTTAGCTCAGTGGTTCCCCCCGCCTGCCTCGCAAGCACAAGGTCCCGAGTTCGATCCCCGGTACAAAAAAACCCCAAAAAAACCCAGACAATGTAATGAATAAGATACAATGTAAACAATCGAATCCAGGTGCAACTCTTCCAACTTTCTATACGCTTGAAACACCAAACCAAAGAGCCACCCCTTTGTCCAAAGCATGGTTAAATGCTGGAGAAATTGAGAAACACACAAAGCTGCGTTGTAAATAAATTGCACACAGAAATGGGGCACTCGACTTTTTAAAATCAGGTTTTTCTTAAGAAACTGTATGAAGCAAGCCAAACAAAACACAAAAGCCCCTATATTAACTGTTTCTATAACATGATACGTTAGTTTTACTATGGTACTTTTTTTTTCCAAAGCCAGTCGTTAGAAAAAAAAAAACGCAAGATTTACTACTGCAAAAATTACTGCTTTCCAGAAATTTCCAAATGGAACAGTTGCGTCATGGGCCAGCGGGCACATTCTGGGTTCTCCCTGAGTGTGATTTTAACAAAGTCCTTAAACAAACTCTGTTGCCACCACAAGCTCCTCTCTCCCGCGCAGGCCCCAACTCTGACCTCACAGGTTCGAATCGAGCCACGTCCCGCCCCCCCGGGCCTACTCAATGATTTCCCGGAGGGGTGACAGGCAAGGCCTGGATTTTAACAGCCCGGAGGAAGGGGGTGTCAGCAACAGACTGCGGGAGCGCGCGTGCCGGAAGCAGGGGGCGCCCCCTTTCCTTCCCTGGCACTGAGACCCCGCGCGCGGGCACCTTTGGAATGGAGCCGCGGGGCTCTTTGGAGAAATACGGTGCGATGGGGGGGCGGGGTGCGCGCGTGTGTGTTTCGGTATGTGTGAGTCTGTGTCCCGAGCGGTGGGCCCAGGCCCCACGAGGGCCCGCCCTGCCAGCCCGGTGGGTCTGCTCCGCCAAGCCCGGGACGCGCTCCGCTCCCTGCGATCCAGGCCCGGCGGTAGCAGCAGCCGCAGCGCCGCCCTCGAGCTCAGCCAATGGGCTGGGGGGCTGCAGGGCGCTGGCCCCGCCCCCGGGCGCGCGCAGGCGGGGCCGGAGCCCGGGCAGGGGGCGCCCTGGGGGCTCTGCTGGGTCGCGGGAGGGGCGGGGCGGGCCTGCAGCGCGGCGGGTGCAACTTGCTGAGAAGTCAGAGGCCGCAGAAGGCACGCTGATGTTTGCACGCAGCACGCACCCAGAAAACCAAGGATCACACTCATACATGCGTTGTGGAAATGTACAGGTTAGGTATTTGGGGGTGCCCTCGGGCCAGGGTTCTCTGTACGTTTGAAGCCTGCGAACTTGCGCAGTGAGTATTTGCAATTGCGGTAAACTGAGGCAGCGAAAGGGCCCTATCTCTTGGAACAACTCCTTCATCTTCATTCATAAATACACTAAACAGTGTATCTTCCGGCTGGGATGCTGATGCACGCCCGTAATCCTAGCTACTCAGAAGGCGGAGACAGGGGGATTGCAAATTCGAGTCACCAAATTCTGGACACCTAAGCAAGACTTTGTCTCAAAATTAAACAGGTGGTGATGTAGCTCAGTGGTACAATACTTGCCCTCTTGCATTAGGGCCTGGGCTCAATCCCAAGGACCTTTAAAAAATGTCTATTCCATCTACAGTATACATTGTTCAACCCATACCGTGTAATAAGATTTTACAGGTCTCCTTTACATGAGAAAAAATGTGTATATAGATAGATAGATATAGATAGATAGAAAGAGAAGAAAAAGTCCAACTAATTCCCCAAATTCCATGTTTCACAAATATTTCCATATATATGCTAACTTGTTTAATTCATACTACTAGTTTCTCTTGGCCCATTGAAGAGAAAGTTTTAAGCTTTTATCTGTTTGTTTCTTCTTTGTAAGTCTTATGACTTACATTTGTAACAACTAACATTTTGGCCATTCTTTGGAGATTATGATACATTCTTTGGCGTATTAACTATTGTTATTCTCCAGTCATTTTGTTTTGAAATTTTGTTTTTTCTTACAGAAGAGTGGGTTTTAGTATTTTCTTTTTATCTACTTGTGCTACATTAAAATTAAAAAAATTTAAAATAAATTTTTAAAAACCTTACTATTGTCCGAACAACCAAAAGAATGGCTGTTCCGGCAGAGCTGGCGCAGCCCGAATTCGGCCGGGCAGAGCTGGGCCGGGTGCTCCCTGGGGTTACTCCAGCCAAGGGGCACCCCAAGTGGCGGGAGATGGAAACCCAGACCCTGTCCTTATCCTCCCAATATGCACAGAAGAGAGAGAAACCCCAAAAGGGAAGGACTTCTTCTACTTTGGCTTATTTCACCACCGAGCTATGCATACAGTAGGTGCAGGAGAAATCTAACAAAGAAAAACACAAACACAAACAGGAGGACTAGGTGGTTCCTCAGTAGCTTCAGCCGCAGGAGAGAAACCGTGCGTACAGCTGTGAATCAGGACTGCGCTCAGGGACCTGTGAACCACAGTTCAGAGGATGAAGGGCGAAGTACAGGAGAGGAGGTCCGAGATCCAGCCGGAGAGAAGGGGGCGAGGGCCAGGCCGCGGCAGGAGCCCAAGAGCCTGAGGGAGAGAGAGAAGTGGCCCCTGGAGCTAAGGATCTAAGGGTCTGACCGCGCTGCGGCACTGCCTGGCCTCTCCCTGGGTAGAGCAAAGGCAGGAGACTGCCGCTGGGATCCCACCTGGTCTCTGCCCACCACTCAACAAGGGGGCCAGGGACTAAGGAGACGCTCAGCTTGGGCGGTCTGGGCTCGTGGCCTGGGGTTCAGGACATCGGGCTCACAGCCACCTCCCAACTCAGAGGTGCCAGAGGCCCCCTGTTCACTTTGCACATTTCTGAGGGTTTTCCTCATTTATCCATATAATACACATTTTAGGCGGTTAATTATAGGAGCAACTTTTTGCATTTGCCATTTGTCTTTTGTGTGTGTTTCATTTGTTTGCTTTTTGTTGTTGTTCTTTTTCTCCCTTTCTTTTTTAATTTTGAAACAGTTTTGCTCAGTTGCACAGGTTGAGTTCTTTCTAACTTGCAGTCTCCCTGCCTCAGTCTCAAAGAGGTGCTAGGATTATGGGCAGACACCCCCATGCCTGGTGGTGTAACTTGTTAACACTGCTGACTTTCAGCTGACTCATTCATGTATCCCGCTGCTTTATTCAATATGTCTTATAGAAATGATTTCTATAAATATGTCTTATTTAGAAATTAAGGATAACAAGGAAGTAGAAGGCATGAGATACAGGCATAGATATTCTCAGGAAAATTCAGAGCCTTGGTTTCTCTAATGGTAAACAGTCTCAGAATTAGCATTAAGGTCAGTAAATGAAGTTATTTTGATAATATTTCCAAAATTATTAGCAAAGCTATCCTTCTGGGTTTTAGTGGATTTTAAGTTACATCTGTTTTTATTTTTAATTTTATATATATATATATATATATATATGTTGTCTCTCCTTTTTCTTACATAATTTCATTGATTCATCATCCAATAAAATTTGTAGTGATAGAAAAATTCTGTGTGTTGTTCAACTCATACACAGAACTGAAGTGGTTACCAACCACTAGTATGACTAAGAAAATGAATTTTTAATCTAATTTTCATGTGGCTGAGAGCTACCCTTCAGAGCAGCCCAGCTCTAAAAGATCCAGCTCTTAAATGTATCAGTTCTGTTTGTTTTCTCATCAGTTCGCCCCTGGTAACTATTTCCCTCCTCCTGTCTAGGGCTTGTTTCATTATTCATTATCTCATTTTTGTGATTCTGCATAGTTATTTAAAGCTCTACATTTTTATCCACATCCACACTTTGTGTTAAAATATTCTATACTTAGCCCAGGCATGGTGGCGCATGCCTGTCATCCCAGCACTCAGGAGGCTGAGCCAGGAGGATCGCTGTGAGTTCCAGGCCAACCTGGGCTACATATCAAGACCCTGTCTCAAAAAACAAAACCAAGTCTATACTTGCAGTGTTGAGATTCGCCTTGATCAAAGTTAAAAGCTTTTGAGTTTTTGTTGTTGTTTTACATGATCAAGGGCTGGGAGTCTGTCTTTAATTTCCAATTATGCATTCAAGCAGCCAGAATTTAGGGCCAATGCAATGTCTGTTTTTTGGAATGTGGGTTTTGGGGTTTTTTTAAGATTTAACAGATGATTAATTTTTCTAAATATTCCAAAGAACTTTAAAATAGGTATTGCTTGCAAAGTACAAAGCTCCGTCTATATTTGTTACCATGAGCTTACTCTAACCTATTATCCAAACTCCTTGTTTCCTGATAAAGTTTTCCTTACTTATTCAGGGAGGGCTGTTTGAGAGTCTCCTCTGAAGTTTCTCCTTTTGCATTTCAGACAATTTTCTCTCCGAAGTGTGCTTCTGTCCTTAAGATTGCCCCTTCACACACTGCAGCTGTTTTCCTTTTCTCCCTGATAATGGCTTGTCCCTTGAATTCTTGGCTTATCTTTCTCTGTTCATGTTTACCCACAAGTTAAAATCCTCTGGTCTTTTCTGGAATTAGGTATGGCAACTTTCTCATGGAGGGAGGGAGAGAAAGGACCACAGCCTGCGTGGGAACAGGAAAGTGGAAGTGGGAGAGATGGAATTTTAAATCGGAGTTCGAAAAGGTCTGAATTGCAAGGACAGCTGCCTGGGACCATGCTCCTGTGACGGGTGGCTTTTCAGTGACATCTGCATGGCAGTGTACAAAAGACCACAGATTCCGGTTTCCGTGGGGCCAGGGCAGCCACCAGTTGGCAGAGTTTGGGGACAGAGACAGAAAATTTCCTCAGCTCCTAAAGCACAAAAAGAAATACCGCAATGTTCTGAATATCTGCAGACACTCTGAAGAAACAAATCATACGTCACAATGAAGATACACCCATTCCAAACTCCCAGGTGACAAAAGAGAGACAACTTTTCAGCTGGTTTCCCGATCGATCGGGCTGCTTCCTAAAGCCAGAACTGTTTCATTTTATTTTCGGAAAACAGAAGAGAGGCTCCGTGTTATCTCCACGTCAGGACCCCGGTGGCCTCTTGTTCCCTGCAGCCCTTCCTGGTGTATCCCCCAAACACTGCTGTTAGAAAACAGTATCTCCCCTGTCCTCTGGTTGCTCGGAAGGCACTGGCTATCAGATCCACCGCCCAGCCCTCCATCTACCCGAGCAAGCAGCTCCTACACCTGAAACTTCCAGGCTCCACCTCTGTTACACTGCCGTGCACATGCAGAGAAAATGCAAAGAGGAAAAGTACAGCCACACAAATGTTTCCCCATCAGACTGCATCTTGAATATCATCTGAGAAAGATGGAAAGCATTTTGACACCCAGACTGAGTCGCCTGATGGAACAAAACCGGTTAATAAAAAACTGCTCTAACAGGCATACTACAACCCCACGGAAGTTGTGTTTCGCCGAACAGGGCTGGCAACATCCACACCCTTGGCTCTCCTGTCGGTATTTATTCAGAGGTGGATTGTCTTGTGTGCCTGGAAACCCTTTCCATCTTTACAGACAATCTCTCTGGTTTACTGGGACAACCATATTCCAATGCACTCTTGGTTTCTTAATTAAAAAGCTGACTTGCTGGAGATTTAGCTCAGTGGCTCCACCGCCTGCCTCACAAGCGCAAGGTCCCGAGTTCGATCTCCAGCACCAAAAAAAAAAACCTGACTAAGCAGCAGAACGGGTGGTATTGGTCAAGCCAACATCCAGGTCCTTTGATCAACAGATCTGAGCTCCTACTAAGTGGCAGGCAGCAGCCTCAGCTCCAGACACAAGCCAGTGATTGCCACAGGCAAGGTTCCCAGCAGGGAGACAGAAACAGGTATTTAGAGCCCAAGAATATTTAGTTACAAATTATGACAGGCTCCCAGGAACTGCACAGAGGGCTGCCTTGTTAATTTCCTTGCAAGGAATTTAATTTCATCAAAGCCAAAGCGCTACTTTCTTGTATGCAACAGTCATAGAGCCAAAAGCCAGGATTCTGGCTGAGTCTTCTGTTTTCCTTTTGGCTCCTCCCTCCTCCCTTGCTCCACATCTTTGCCAAACAATCAAGCTAAGAGAGGGGTGCATGATCAGCCACACCTCCTGGTTCCTCAGCAGCCACGCCTGGGTTGGGGACAGGAAGGAAGATGAGCTCAGAGAAATTCTACATGATCCAAATCAGCTCTTTTCAAGCTTTTTTCAGATCTGGAAACCACAGATTCAATTACCAGTGTAGGTTCCAGGGATGATGGAGTCACGTGGACCGGGGTTTGAAGCAGACATGTAGCTACTTCCTCATCATGGGAATCACTTTCTGGTCATGGGTGTCACTTCCTGGTTATAAGAACCTGTTCTCTGTGCCTCCCAGTCTCCCCATGTGTGCAGGTGTACTATAACCATTTCTTGGGCTGACTTGAGCATCAGATGAAATGGAATGATGCAGAACACATGCGCAAAGTAATATCAGGTGCCCGGCAGGGCCCAAGAAAGGATTTTCAAAAGTGCCTTCCCCACTGCAGCAACAGCTTCGGGTACCTTATCTCTCACCCTTGCTTCCTCCTTGGAATAGTGCTAATGCATCCCATGGGGAAGGGAGGGCTGGATAGATGGATCAGATGACCAAATTTCAAGCATGCACCAGGCAACATCAGCTTCCTTTCACTGAAGGCATTCTTGGAGAAACCATTTGTCCTCACTTTTGTGGGTCACTCCCAAATTGTCCACACATAGGATGCAGTGTGGGCCTTTCTGGTAACCAGAACTGGTAACTGATCCTAGAAATGTGTCCTAATACCACCCTGTATTCCATTCAGCAAATGCAAAGATATACTTGCTCTGTGGCCGGCCACCCCAGGCCAGGCACACAAGGCTGGAATGACCCGAGCTGTCCCTGCCCTCCGAGATCACAGAGGTCACCACCAGACTCCTCTGCATGTCACTCAGATCCCAGCCCACAGCCGCCCCACACTCCCAGGAACCCTATACACTCACCTCTTCCCCAAGATGACACAGCCCAAAAAGCTTTGTCAAGGGATATAAAAGCAGGCAAAGTGCTCTTCTGGAAAGCCCTAATATCCTGTCGTAAAATAACCACCCTTCCAGGTGACATCTATGTGCCTCTTGAGGCTGCTTGGAAGTTTCTCCAGTAGGCTCACTCTCAGGAGCAGAGCAGTCCACCTTGGAAGGGAAAACACAGAATGCCTAATTTTCCTCTCAGAAGTCAAGCTCTAATAGCCTCCGAAGAAAGCCGCAATTTAAGGTCTATTGGGCACATTCCTCCCCGAGGCCTGTGATTTGGGGATGCCAGGAAAGTTGGGGAGATGAATGCGTGCATCGAGTGAAATTGGGCTGCGCCGAAAATGAGCAAGACCCCAGGCCCGAGGTGCAGCTGAGTCCATTCACACACACGGAAACGGGACAGGCCACAGGGAAGCTGACAAGCAGGAAATTCTCATGCAGAGCATGAAGCTGCAATCTCAAATAAAACACACGTCCACCCAGTTGTGTCTCCACGCCCTGCCTCAAGGAAGGAGGCCTGCAAAGAACTTGGCCTCAGACATGGGAAGGGATTTAAAGTAAAGAATTGGCCCCCCAGGTCCCTTCCTGTCTTTGTAGCCCCCAGAAAATCACCGTGAACTTCAGCTTCTTGGAACTGGTCTGGGGCAAAGACAACGACCCACTCAGAGGTGTCCCTGACCCTGTGCTGTGTGACTTCCAGCTTCCAACTTCACCTTCAGTCTCCTCTTTGAAGTCCAAAGATCAAAAGGTGCTTCTAGGTTCTCACACTTGGGATCCACAGCGCCCCCCGCCCCAGTTTCCTTCCTATCTGTTTCTCTAGTGATCATCACCCCCAGCCACCCATTCTTCATTGAGTCCCACAGGATGCAAAGATAAAACATAAGCCGCTTTCCTTAGCAACCAAAAAATAGAAATAAAAGAGCTTTGGAAAATTAAACAGCGGGTACCCAAATAGAAAGTTTGCTTTAGAAAAATTGCACCTAACACACACGCACACGCGTGCACACACGCACAGGCATGCACACACACAGCCTCACAACCTTGACCAGCTACACAGAACAATTCCCACGCATGTGAGAAACCAGCAGTCAGGAGGCCCTAAAAACGGGTGGGAGGGGCCAAGATGAACTGGCCGGTGCCATGGAAACCACCCCCCACCCCAGGACAGCCAAGAAAGAGCATGGGCAGGTTAGGGGTTAGAAGCTGAAGCCAGAGGACCTGGGTGGAATCCACCACTTCCTGATGGTAGGACGTTTGGACCAGGTGTCCTAACCTCTCTGAACTTCTCATAAAATAGACTCCTGAGGCCACCTACTTTTGTGGAGCTGCTGTAACTCCAGTAGGAAGTGGCTCTGTAGGGGAGGTGGGAGTATTTTTTGGTAATGGGGATTGAAGCCAGGGTGTGGGCTGAGATTTTTCTTTCTTCCCCAGCCTTTTTCTTTCTTCTTTGTGAGCAGACTCTTGCTAAATTCCTGGGGCTGGGCTTGAACTTGTGATCCTCCTGCTTCAGCCTCCAGAGGGCTGGGATGACAGGCATCCAGCACCACACCCAGCTTAGATCTACAGTTTAATAAGAGTATAGAAGCTGGCACTGTTGGAGCCTTCCTCAGAGCTAGGTAAATGCCAGATGCTCACCAATGCATCACTTTTTTTTTTTTTTTTGGTACCGGGGATCGAACTCTGGTCCTTGCGCTTGCGTAGCAGGCAACAAAACCACTGAGCTAAATCCCCGGCCCCAACCAATGCATCACTTTTAATCCTCACAACACCTGCCAGCCTTGCCAGACTCCCTTTGATCTCTATGTACAGATATTTAGGTTCATTGTGGTCAAAATCTCCAGTGCCTTTATCTATGCCGAATGCAAGACAAAAAGCATCGGGAATGGATGCAATCATCCTGCCCACCAGCTTTCTTAAATTCTGTGCACAAAGTAACTAACACAATTCTGTTGCTTCACATCGCCAGTCCTGACATTCTCCAGCTCCAGACCTTTGCCCATGCAGTCCTGTGCACCCAGAATTTATTCTGCCCCCAGCTGCTCCCATAGCAGCTTCCCCTTCACACTTCTGGTCCCTGCAACAGCACCAGCCTCAGAGCGGCTCCCCACACTCCATCAGAAGAGGGAGCCCGGCACTGCAGCAGGGGCCCAGGCCTGCCTTCTCCCTCCCAGTACAATTCTGCGAGGCCTGGCAGAGGTGGGAACAAACGCCCTCCACCTCCCAAGCAGCCCAAGTGGGCCACACGTTTATATGAAGTCTCCAGCCCCTGAGCTCACACAAACATAAACGCTGAGATCAACTCCGAAAACAGTCATGCCCCTTTAGGTCCACACAGTGCAAAGGTAAAAATAATAACCCAGGAAAGCCCGGCTCAAGCACACAGGCTCACAACATCCTCCAGCTGCTTCATCCACGGATGCTGATACCCAGGGCAAAGTCTGGACTTGGCTCGGCATTCAGGGCCAGCAACCAACACCAACGCTGCGGCAGTGACATCAAGCCTAGGGGATGACATCACTTTGCTATTAATAGCGGGGTCCATGGGTTGTGGACCAGATAAATGAACCCCAAATGAATGGAGCCATAAAAGAAAAACAGGATTGGAAATGATTTGCAAGAATTACTATTAAGGGGGGAAAACCAAGGAGGAGAGCAGTGAGGAAAGTATATCTGTGTTCAGAAGAGGCAGGAGAGAGTCTGGTGTCTTCCTGTGTCTTGCTGGGAGATGCGGGCAGCTCTGAGGGCTGGGTATCTTTGATACCCAGGGGAGGATAGATGGAAGGGCCTTTCTTCCTTGGTCTTGTAAACTACTCTGTAAGTGCTTTTGACTATTACAAGAATAATACCTCTTTTAAAAAGAGAGAGAAGATACATGGAAAAACAAATGTGGTCTGTCCACGTGATGGAATATTACTCAGACATGAAAAATGAAGGAAATGCTGAAAGCTGCTACAGTGCAGATGGGCCTTGAAGATGTGATGATCAGTGACAGAAACCACACACAGAATAAAACACTGCAGGATTCCACTCTGAGGAGGTCCCTGGAGTCATGAGATCTACAGACAGGAAGTAGGATTCAAGGGCCTGGAGAGGGGATGGGGAGTTGGTGTCTCATGGGGACAAAGGTCCTGGATAAGAAGATGAGAAAATTTTGAGGATGGATGGTGGTGGTGACTGCAGTGTCCGTGTGGTCCAAGCCCCTGAACGCAAAACACAGTTAAAATGGTCGATTCTGTTATGGGTATTGCATCATAAAAGAGAATGTTTAATTAAAAGACACAGCAGCAGACATCAGTGGATGGAAAACTAATGGTTTGAGCAATGAGGTATCATGGTTCTGATAATCTTATGTTTCCATCATTTAATTTAAGAAGTTCAAAGCCAAACAGAAATAGAAGGATCCACTTTCCACAAGTAAGTTAACAGGAGAATCTCAGCTCACTTGAAACACAAATTTAGGATATTGACAAAATCCAAACAGCCAGAAAAGTGTAGTTTTTTTAATTTAACTTTTTGTTTTTTCATTTTTTTGACAGAGTCTTGCTGAACAGGGCGGGCTGGCCTTGAACTCGCTATATAGCCCAACTTGGCCTCCAACTCACAGCACTCCTCCTGCCTCAGCCTCCCGAGTGTTGGGATTCAGGTCTGTACCAGCAGACTCGACTATTTGGCTTTGCATCATGGCACCACCATTTCCTTGCTGTGTGTCCAGTGGAGGGGAAATTATCTCTCAAGTCTTCAGTTTCCTTATCTGTAGAACGGTCTAAGAAAACAATCCAGATTCTCAGGGCGGAGACTAAAATGAGACACTGAGGTCTTTACCCCATGATATTTAAGGCTGTGTCCAATCAGTCACCTAGGTAAACATTATTGTCATGTAGTATATTTTTATTTATTTTTGTAGTACATTTTTAAATATCAAAACTCAACCCAAAACTCTATAATGCATACAATATTTCAATTTTAAATAAAGACAAGATCTCATAGGACTGAGATTAGGGTGAACAGGGTCAGATCAGTCTTGGTTTAAAATTTTGATTTTTTTAAAATACAGCATTTGCCCTGGAGATGTAGCACAGTGGTAGAGCACATGCTCAGCATATGTGAGGCCCCAAGTTCCATCCCTAGCACTGCCAGAAAAAAGAAAAACTAAGTAGAACTACAGCATTAATGTACAGCTGAGTTTAAGGATGTGTCTTAGTTACTTTCTTGTTGCTGGGAAAAAAATACCCAACACCATAAGTTAAAGAAGGAAAGGTTTATTTCAACTCAGTTTGTAGAGGGTTCAGTCCATAGCCAGCTGGCTCCAAAGCAGGGCAGCATGGGAACAGAGAAACAGTCCATGGCAGGGCAGGCAAGGGGCAGCAGCAGCCTCTCTTTCCCTTTTATTCCATCCAGGCTACAAGCCTTTTGGGTGGTGCCATCTATACCCAGAGTTGGCCTTCTCATTATGGACCCCCAGAATTATGATAAACCAATCAATGGACTAAGCAGTACCACACACCCTTAATCCCAGTATAACACACCCTAGATCCAGCCATCTCCAAAAAGCCCCACCTATGAGCACACAAGGCTTTGGGGGCACATCTAGAACAAGCCATAACCAGGACCCTCCTTTAAGTATTAAGAGCTTGGTCCAACTGTTCTTTTTTTCTTTTTTCTTTTTTTAATTTTAAAACAGGATGTCGCTGTGTAGTTCAGGCTGGCTTTGAACTCATTATGAAACCCAGGCTGGCCTTGATCTTGCAGCAGTCTTCCTGCCTCAGCCTCCTGAGTGCTGTGATTACAAGGATGTGCCACCACGCCCAGCTTGGTCCAATTGTTCTGGTTACAACCAGGTAATTCTGGAACAATTCTCCCTTTGGAATAAGTTATTGAGCAACAAGCTAAATTTGGTTTTCAGGAGGTGACTCTGTTCTCCAGCTGCCCGTTTCCTGGAGGATTTTATGCCACCCTCGGCTTTTCCACAGGAGCAGGCTTTGCACAGGGCTTGTGTTCCAGCAAACATTCGTAATCACCTGGGGCTTCGGGGCCAGGTAAGTTCTGGATTTTATTATGAGTAACAAATTAAATTGGCTAACAAAAAAAGCCAAGTGCCCAATCCAGTGACCTCTGATGAACCAAAACATGCACAGCTGCACTGCCACGAGCCCAGGGTGAAGAGGGAAGCAGATGGCTCCTCTCCCACAGGCAGAAAGCCAGGAGGTTGGGGCGCAGTGCAGGGTGCTGCCTCCATCACACCACCTGCACCATCCACAAAGCCCACAGAGCCAGGCAGTGTGGCCAAGATGAAGGAGCCGTCGTCCCTTTCTCCTTCTCTCCTTGCCAACTCCACACCTGGGAACCAGGCACTGTTGTGCAAGTTGCAGGCTCAGACCAGCAAAGCTGCGGGATGGGTCACTCCAGCCGCACTGTGTCTTAGAGAAAGTGGCCGCCTCCCCTTCGCCGCTGTGGACATCTAGAGCCACATCGTGGGGTGGGGACTGCCCTCAGCTGGACAGGGTGTCCAGAAGCATTCCCGGGCCCCATCTGCCATGTGCCAGTAGACCCTTCCTGGGGTGACAACTGGACAACGTCCCTGGCCCTCTCTGGAGTTAGCCTTAGGTGAGAACCATCACCTTGAGGGAGACCCTTGGTAAAGACAGGGCATCTGACAGTGGATGGCGTGGAAGTGGGGAGCGTGTCCAGCTGCCTGTCCATCACTCTGTCCCTTATTTATGGGTTTGGGGGTTCAGGGCTTCCCTGTGGTCACAGAGCAGTTGTTGGTCATCCGTGATGCCCAAGCCCTGAAATCCTTGCCCAATTCCCAACTAGTGCACGTGCACACACACACACACGTTGCCAGGCACCTCCATGGTGAAGGGCGCTCTTGGGCACTGACCTCAGGTGCCTAGCAGGTGGCAGAGTCACAGACGTACGTTTGTTTCTCTGCCATTCTCCTCCAGCCCCAGCATTTATGTTTCTATTCTTAATGCATGAAAGGGTCTCAGGCTGGCCACAGAGTCTGTTTCCAGCTACGTTTAAAACAAGAGGCTTTCAACAACCACCAGGCATGCATGCTTTTCCCTCCACAGGGCACCACTCAAACCCACCCCCAGGGAAGTATGCAAAGAACTGCGGCTAAATAGCCGTTTTCCTTTTGCTTCTCTTACCAGAGATGCACAGGATGAATTCTCTTTCTCAGGATCTTCCTAAATCCAGAGCGGGAGCATCTCCAAAGGGATGATTTCAGTGGAAGTCGCACACAGTCTGCGCACTTTGAGCACAAAGCCATAGCCAAGTGCACAGGCTGCTAAAATGACTCCCAAAGAAATGCGACACCAAGAACAACCCAAATCCACCAGACAAAGACTTCAGACAGAAAAAGCTGAGCAGCAAGCGGAAGAAGCAGAAGCGATGCCTTGTTTGACATTTTTGGAGTGAGTTTCTACTCTTTCACCCTGTTCCTCATGGGCTCGGAGGGACAGGTCGGATATCGTGTTCCTTGCAGAGCTCAAGCCACAGGTCCACGCAGGCAGCAGTGGGAGGGTCAGCGAGGCTTCCGACTCAGCTTACTCGAGATGGAAAATTCTCCTGCTACTGTGGCCTGGATACTTGTGCAAGGCCTCCCGGGGAGGCTAGGATTTAAGTAAGGCTCAAGGGGGCTCATAGGTGGAGAAACAGATCGACACGATGCGTGCGTCCGTCTGTCCATCCTGTGGACTAGGATTCAGCCTCAAAAAAGGAAAGGAAGTCAGGTACATCCTACAGCGTGGATGCACCTTGAGGACATGACGCTTGGTGAAAGAAACCAGACATAAAAGGACACACACTGCAGGATTCCACTCCCAGGGGGTCCCTAGAACCGGCAGGGCCCCAGAGACAGGAAGTAGATGGTGGGTGCCAGGGCTGGGGAGTTCGTGTTTCACGGGGCAGAGGCGCAGCTTGGGGAGATAATAAAGTCCTGCAGATGCGTGGTGGGGGGCAGCCGCCCCAAGTAGGAATGGACTGAATGCCACTGACCCTTGCAATTACTGAATGCCCTTACCATGGCTAAAATGGCTTTCATTTATGCCGATTCCACTGTAATCTAAAAAGAAAGACGGAGCAATCACAGTGACCAGGCCTGGTACTACAGGAGCTGCCTGGGCCCCTGTCCTACGACCCTCATCTGGTGGTTCCTGCCCATTATCTTGATTTGGGAAAGGAGGAATGAGAAGGATCAGCACGTGGCTTAAGGTCATACATCAAGGACACGGTGGGTGGAGCTAATTTATAGCCAGGAATCAGGCTCCACCATCTTTATCATTTAATGTCTGTGCTATCTAGGGTTTAAACTGAGGGTTCCTCATTCTTGGCTTCTTCTGACACCTCCTGTCTTCCAGGAACTTCCTGCCACTTCTTTATGTGTCTCTGGCACCTAGTTTTCCCGTGACCATCAGGACAGCACACAGGAGTCGAGATGATCCCAGGATAACTGCCCCTGGCCACACTGCAGAGTCAGGAGTCCAGCTGGGACAGAGAAGACTAGAACACAAGTAAAACCAAAAACTCAGACTCTGCACTTGGGCAGACCCAAGTTCAATGCCAAAATCTACCCTGAGGATGGAACCCAGGGCCTGCCTGAAGCATGCTGGGAAAGTGCTCACCCCTAAACCATACCCTAGCCTTGCACAGTCATTATTAGTATGGTTTCGGGGGGCTGAGAGTGGTAGAGCCCCTGCCAAGCTGGCAAGCAGTCCTGGGTTCCATCCCCATCACTGAGAAGTGAGGGGTGAACAGACAAAGAAAATGTCATGTATTTATACACAGTGGAGTACTACTCTGCCGTGGATAAATGACTCATTTGTGGGAAAATGGATATACGCTGAGGTCGTAATGTGAAGGAACACAGACACACAAGCTTACGTGTTGCATGATTTCTCTTACATGAGAAGCTCAAAATATAAATAAAGAGCAAAATAAAAGGTAGATGATCAGAAACAGGAAGACAGATCTTTTGCAAAAGGGAAGGGGAGAAGAAACGGAGGGGGGCAGGGGATAGGGATGCCAAAAGAATGAAGATACATCCTGTCCACACACCCACTCCCCACGGGGAATGCAGTCAGTATGTACTGCAGGCATGGGCTCATGAAAAATGAAAATGAACAAAAAATGACGGCTCCTAAATGGGAAATAGACCCTTGAACGTCCTACAACCCAGACTGCTTGGCTAGGAATTCTACAAGCCCTGAGACATGCCTTTCAAGTCAGGTGGCTTGACAGCCCCCTCATCAGAAGGGCGGAAGTTCAGTTTTGGACACAAAGCAGGTACAGGGGAAACATTTTCCCCAGGAGAGAGGCATTGACCTCCTTGCTCCCCCGGGGGATAACTTGTTTCTTTCTGATGCTTTTTTGTTGACTTGCAGCTGGGCCCAACAAGCCTGGCTCATATTTCCCCCCTGTGCCCTCCCTCCCTAAACATTTGCTGAACGAATAAACCAAAGGATAGGAGGCATCCAAACCCTCAAGACTCCACCGACCGACGACCAACCGCCTGACCGGAGGAGCCAGTTGTTAGGCCTGCAGTTAAAAGTTAAAAGCCTTCCCAAGGTCACAGAGAGGGGTGAGGTCTCTCTAACGGACCGAGGACTTGGCTCTTCTCCACCCTATTTATCCAGAGGAGGTCACCCCGAGGGCTGCCTGCCCATGGGCAAGATTTCAGTATGAGCTTTGGGGACCTTAAACCTACAGTAGCTGCAACCCATAAAGGGAGACCCGGAACTTCATTAGATTTGCAAACATGGATGACTTAACCCACTCAATGACGTACTAGGGGGTCACACCTAGAGCACCCTATGACTGAGCTAACCACCCTCCCCCCCAGCCCTTTTTATTTTTTAGTTTCACAAAGTTGCCCAAACTGGACTAAAATTTGCGATGGATCCTCCTGCCTCAGCCTCCCTCAGTGGTGGGATTACAGGCATGTGACACCACATTCGCCTGTGTTTTGTTTTGTTTTTTTGTTTTGTGAGCCAGGGTCTTGCTGTGTTGCCCAGGTCAATCTTAAACTCCTAGTTCCAAGTGATCCTCCTGCCTCAGCTTCCTGAGTAGCTATGCCGGACTAGCTGTCTTTTTAAGGAAAAGAAAATAGCGATGGTAAAGTTGCAGAGCAAGGAAACAGTGGAACCAGGATTCAAACCTGAGAACTTGTGCTCCGGTGGGCATCTAGGCTTATTCACATGAACACTAGCCAGCTCAGGCATTCCCAGGCCTTGTCCAGATTGTCACATGCTTCCAGTGAGGACACCAGGAGAGGTCACAGTGCCTCGTTTTTATGGCCTTGTGTCACCATCTATATCTGGTGGAAAGAATCACTATCGAAACACCACAGTGACCTCCCAGACTCTGGCTCCAGGCAGAGCGGGCGTCTGTCCCCATGGTCAGTGGTGTCCCTTCCAGGCTGCACTGAGCACAGAGCTTTGCTCAGAGAAGCAGCACATCCGCTAGAAACTCCGGGCTCTGCTGTTCCTGCTTTGGCTTCCCCAGACACGAGGGGAGAGAGGACAACACACAGGCTGCAGCTCCAGCCCTCCTCTTTTTTTTATTTCGACACAGGATCTCACTGAGCTGCCTAAGATGGGTTCAAATTCTTGATCCTCCAGCCTCAGCCTCAAAGAGCTGCTAGGATTGCAGGCCTGGGCCACCACACCTGGCTGTTGTGTCGTTTTACATTGTTTTGTATTGTTTAGAAAATAATGATAAGAAAAAGGTCCGTACACATGCAGTACAGACTGTTTTGTTTTGTTTTGTTTTGTTAGGAGCCCGAGGCATCAGAGGCCAGTGCTGCATCACAGAGCTACTCCCCACCCCATTCCCTTTTTTTTTCTTTTTTCTAATTTTGAGACAAAGGCTCACTAAATTGCCCGGGCTGGCCTTGAATTTGAATCCTCCCGCCTCAGCCTGCTGAGTAGCTGGGATTACAGGTGTACATTCCCATGCCTGGCTGAACGAAAATGTATTTCTGGATGTTTCTGATCCCCAGCTGTTGGAACCAAGAGCCAGAGCTTGGGGATACAGGAGGGGCCGACTGGAACCAACTGCTGCCCTAAAATTCTAGCCAGGAGGTCGCCTGGGGTCTGGGCCTCCCTGACACCCGCTGTTGTCCAACCGTTGAGACAACAAGAGAGGGGCTCAGGCAGCACAAACCCCAAAGGACAGCCAGGAACCCGAGGAGCGTCCCTGGGCTCAGAGTCAGGGTGCAGCCCCTACTACCCACGAGTCTGCGAAGGAGCACACTGCCACTTGAAAGGGAGCTGTTGCAGGTCCCCCAGGGCCCTGAGAGGCCATGGGGTGAATAACCTTATCCCCAACCCCAGTCCCAGCCAGAGAAACAGGGGAGATGGAGGGGCACCGAGCTCCATTCCAGTTTCTCCACACAACCCTAGGCTTGACTGTGATCCCCATTCTGCAGAGGAGACAGACAGACACTGAGAGGCCAAGCAGCCTGCAACTGGTCACGCAGCAAGGCGGAGCCCGAGCCACCGCAAGACACTCAAGGTCCCCGTGGGCCAGGGAGGGAAGATGATTTCTTACAGAGACAATGTTACCAGTCCCTTCCCCACTGCCTTCTCCAGATCAGCTCAGAGGCACTCATGACCCCAGCCACCTCCCAAACCAACTGTATTTTAGCTGTGTCCACTTCGCCTCCAGGAGACGGTGTCACTGAGCAGGTGTCTAAGGGTCAGCTTCAAGACAGGGCGCCTGTCCGTGATGGGCTGCTGAGTCCCCACTTCCTAACCCAGCAGGACGTGCCACTAAATGACAATGATCAAATGTCCTCAGGCACCTTGATCCCCAGGGTGGGCTGCAGCAAAGACACCGACTCCACGTGCAGAGCTGACAACCAGTCCTTCATTTGCATTTTGCTGCTAACAGGAGCCAAGAGTCACCTCAGAGTGGACCCTTATAGGGAGAAATCCCCCAATCCTCCCTTAGCTCTTTAGTGAGCTACAGATGAATGGATAAAGAAAATTTTTATACATGGTGGAGTACTACTCTGCCATGAAAAGGGATAGACTTGAGTCTTTTATAGGAACATGGATGCACCTTGAGACCATACTGTTAAGTGAAATGAATCAGACTCATGAGCTTAAATATTGCATGGGTTCTCTTATATGAGAAACCCAAAATATTTTTTTAAAGAGCAGAATAGGAAACAAGGAGATAGGTCTTTGGCAAATGTGAACAGGAACAAGAGGTGGTGGGAAGAAGAGGGAGGGGAGGAAAAGAGGAGGAAAAAAGAGGAGGAAAAGGAATGAAGATGTGCTACACACACGCACCGACTCCTTCCAAGGAACGTAAACACTGTGCACTGCACACACTGACTGGCAAAAAGAAAACAATTTTGAAAGACAAAACCAAAAACGATCTAATGAATTTTACGCACACATGGAGATCTTCGTAAGAGAGTAAAGTGCGAAATGAGGAAAGCATAACACTTCTACTGCAGACAACAATAAATGCGTGAAGAGGTGAAAGGACAGATGAATCCCCACACTAAGGGAGTAAATTCTGAAGAGATGTAGGGAAAAGGTGTTAAAATGCACGGGACAGAGGGGTGACTTTAAAGGGATTGTTTGTTCACATGCATTGCAGCCCCAAATTCCAGGCTGTGGTGGGCAAGGCTGCTCTCTAGCGTTGGGATGGGAAGGTCAGCTTGCCCCAAAGATTCTTTAGGTCTTGCTGCAAGTAGAAGACGTCAGGCCAAATGGCCCTGTTACGGGTCCTCGAGTGATTTCAGCTTAAAATAACCAATGCATAGCTGTTATAGTTTAGATTGCTGTGCCCCGCAAAGCCTCATGTGTTCATCCTCGGAGCTTTGGGAGGTGATTGGATGGTGGGGGATTACTGCTGACTTGGCGCTGGGAGGTGGGGCCTTCTCAGAAGAGGAAGTCACTGGAGTCGTGACCCGGAAGTGTTTCTCTCCCACCCCGGCTCCTTGTTTCTCTCTGCTTCCTGGTCCCCATGCTGTGAGCAGGTCTCCTCCCCCAGACCCTTCCACCACACCTTTCCTGCCTTGGAGCCAGCCGACTGTAAACTGGATCTTCTTAAAACCCTGAGCACAAGGGCAGGGGATTTAGCTCAGTGGTTCTGCCGCCTGCCTTGGACGTGCAAGGACCGGAGTTCGATCCCCAGTACCAAAAAAAAAAAAACCCCTGAGCACGATAAACCTCTCCCTCTTTAAGCTGCAGGTGTTGGGTGTTTGTCCTAGCAACAAGAAAGTGACTATGGCAACCACCCAAGCATATTTTGAAATGGCACCTGCTTAACTCCTTCACACCCTGCCACACACACACTCCATCGTCCTAGGGCAGCGGTCTCCAGAGCTGGGTGATTCTGGACCGGAGGGCAACTTGGCAGCATATGGAGACATTTTTAGTTGCACAACTAGAGTAACAGGTTGCTACTGGCATCAAGTGGGGAGTGCTGCTCAACGCCCTTCACATGCACCGCACAAGTCCACAGAGGCACTTTGTCCGGACCGGAAGTCCTCCCTTTATCAAAGCCAAGATTGCCACATCTCTAACTCTGTGTAACACAAAATGCGGGAGAATGTCTTACCCTTCAAACAGCTGGCTTGAACAGGTTTCCGGATTCCAAAAGCACTGATACAAAAAAAACCTTTAAACGACTATCACAAGCACAGGCACGTGCACCCTCCAGCCCCATTCTGCAAATCTTGAGCAACAACCCAATGGCTCCACTCAGACCCTATAAATATGTGCCAGAGGAGACTTATTACGCTAATTTCCTTTAGTAAACAGTCCAAATCTTACTTTTAAAATCAATGAAACAGGGAGTGCCAGGCAAAGGGCCACATGGAATCCTTTCCTCTCTCTCCACACTAAGCCTTGTACGTTCTGTGACTTCCACTCCTGAGGTGGGCAACATGGATGTTTCCAGAACACCCTGTTTTCCAGCATATACACTTTTTTCTTTATTTCCCATAGGCTTGGTATGAATAATTAATGAACTCACGATTTGCTGCTGGGTAATCCCTCGGGAATTAAACCCAGGGCCTCTACACTGAGCTTCATGCACAGCCTTTTTTTATTTTTTATTTGGAGACAGGGTCTCACTAACTTGCTAAGTGGCCCAGGCTGGGCTTAAACTTATGATCCTCCTGCCTCAGCCTCCTAGGGGGCTGGGATGACAGGCATGTGCCACCGTGCCTGGCAAATACTACCCTTCTTGCCTAAAATCCTCTTGGGTCCTCAGCAGTGTGCTAGAGTTCTGTATGAACTCCAGCAGCTAAGAACAATTCCCCTTTCACCAAGAGGACCGGCAGATATTGCACATCGCCTCACGGGTTACAAAATAATTTCTCCACAGAGCCACGCAGGGTTCTGGATGGAAAAAGCAACCCATGTGGAGGAAATCCAGGATAAATTGTTTTCTTTTTGTTTTGCTGAAAACTACCATGTATCACCAGTCTGTTTCCGCCAGTCTGGGGCTGTTACGTTCATTTCAGCATCATAAATCCACACAGAAATCAAGGTGGCATTGCCCAGAATAACTGCCAGATACTTTGGAACAGACTGTCCTACCGTGGACCTTCCTGGGGCCACAAGACTCAGCCCCGAGGTTCCCCAGTGGCCCTGATCAAGAGGCCTCTTTCATCTGAGAACGACTGTGTGGAGTGGTTGGAAATCTGCCCACACTTCATGCGGTGGCCAACGGGTATCCAAGCCCAGAGCCCACCCGATCCCCCGCCCCCACATAAAAAGCCAACCCCAAATGAACACCAAAATTTGGGGGTGACAATAAGTTAATATTCCACTCTACTTGTCAACTGAAGTGGGGTTTAACAGCAATTTTAACAGCTAACAGCTTAACAGAATGGGTCCTCTGTCTTTCTAAATAGACAAATGTCATTTGTACCTCTTGGCTCTATGAGGCAATCAAGAGTTCATGATCACACCTCATTTACCAAGCAAGGCTGAAAAATAGGAGAACCAAGACTATTCACAACTGTGTAATCAGGCTCGGCAGCAACACAATGCAGGCATCCCACTCAGATCAGACGTGCACCCGTGCCGGGCACACTCGACTCTGTCATTGAACAGTGCCCCTCGAGTTCCTGCTGGAACAAGATTAACAGCAATAACCGGCGTGATGATTGGCAAGTGGCCGTAACTCATCCTTAACTACAAATGCTACAAAGATGAAGCCTGAAAACTGTAGGGAACCAACTCCATGAATATTAGAACTGGTAGCTATTTAATGAGATAGCAGTGAAGAGATTAAAAACCCTGTCCACTATTCTGGAAAGATAACCATTTTTAAGGCTTTTTTCAAAAATCACTCATATTAGGTAGATGGATTGATAGGCGTGTGGATGAGTGGGTGAAGGGGTGATGAGTGGATGGACAGGTGGGTAGATGGATGGATGGACAGAGGGACGGGAGGGAGGATGCATGGCTAACGGACAGGTGCATGGATAGATGGGTGGGTGGATGCATGGCTGGACGGTGGATGCGTGGATGGTGGGTGGATGGTGGGTGGGTGGATGAGCAGGTGAGTGCATGGATAGATGAACGGATGAATTGGTGGTTGAGTGGGGGGATGAGTGGGTATGAAGGTGAATGTATGGGTGACAGGAAGGAGGGATGGATGGATGGGTGCATGGGCAGAGAAGCTTGGCAGG